ATCCAGCCTCAGGCAATCACTGAAAATTATTTATTTTTTCTGTGAACATGCAAATATGTATTTTGTGTCAGAATATAAACAATGGAAATGCTTATGAAAGAAACCCATGGAGCAGAAAATGACATATGTAACCCATTGCAATAAAAATATTCTACTGTAATAGAAATAGTTGCCAAAATTCATCAGTATTTTTCTGTATACGCTAAGTAGTTGAATTACAAATTTTTTGTGATAAAACCAATGTTGCATATAAAGCATCCTTCAGGAGGTAATACATGTTTTTTCCTCTTTGCAGACCATTATCAATCTGATTTTAGGAATGTTTTGAATCTTTGAAGAGCTACTGTATAAGTCTGTGCCTACTATAATATGGATTTTTTCTTTTTGCAAAGAAAGTTTTGGTTGTATTTTGTTAGAAATTTTTAATTAAGATAAGTAGGCAAAATAGTCACCTTTTGAAATTTTACAAATTTCACTAATGGAAAATTAAGCTTGCAAACAGGAGGGCATTAGAACTTATCCTTACTGATCATTATTTTAGTGCTGGGGATTGAACCCATGGTCTTATGTATGCAAGGCAAGCACTCTACCAACTGAGCTATATCCCCAGCCAGAGCTTATCCTTATAAATACAATGTAGAACCCGAGCAGATTAGATAATAAGAACTCAAACACAGCACACAGGCTTTCATTTGGAAGTTTTATAATTGTATGTGGAATATTGGGACTTGTAAGAATCTTTTCATGAAACTACTGTTTTTAACAGGATATATGTATAATTTTTAGCAGAATTCAAAGTATACTGAACTTTAGAAGGCCTGTGATTTCTAGGTATCTAAATTTGGTTAAACAGTAACCAGAACTATAAATAGACACAATTTGTTTGATGAGTTTTGTTGTCATAATTTTTCTTCAAGAAAAGGTATCATAAGCAAAAGATAATATTTTTTAAAATAACTTTACACACTGTAATATCAAAACAGGAAAATGAAGACTATATTTCACTTGGAATTTTTCCTGAATCTGGTAGGTATTTGAGCACTGAAGAAAGTATTTTCTTAATTAAAATTATTATGGTCTACAGAAAAGAGTCAAGTGTCACCAATTTCAAATTTATTAACTATGAAATGTATCCTGAAGGATATTCTTAAAACATATTGAAAACCCTGTATCCTTGCTTATGTAATCAAAAACCATTGCATGGAAAAGTAACACAAATCAATAGAAATCAGCTATTTCGGAAAAAGTATTTGTAAAATACATTGCAGGAAAAGTGTTAATAACTAAAAGCTATAAAGAACTCTTATGAACTGATGAGAAAAATATCAACTATTTTAAAGCAAAATTTGGACAAAGAAGAAGAATAGGCGACTTACAGAGTTAAGCTAAGATGCTGTGTGTGTGCGTGAGGGTGTGCGTGAGGGTGTGTGTGTGTCTGTGTGCACGATATATGATTAAATGAGCCCAAAGGAAAACGTTTAGTAGACACCAGGGCTGTTAACTTTGGTACAGCAGTGAGTGAGGGGCTGGTGTTAGTAGAAAGTTAACCAGACAATTCCAACCCCCTTTCCAAAGATGACTGAAGGAGATACAGGAATTAATCACTAGAATACCCACGAGTGCTACAGTTGAGGAACAGAGAAAGAGCCCCTCAGGCCTGTGGGCTGACTAGAGCAGGCCCTAGACAGTGAGTTATTTTCTTCCCTCCTTATGAGATCATTACTTGCAACGAGGGACATAGTGGCTTTCATGAGGCGAGTACAGTTCTGTGGTTGGGCACAATCAGAGTTTAGGAGTTGTTGTGAGGCCCTGGGAAGAACGCTCCTTGCAAAGACACATTGCATCTGGTGGTGACTGCTTCTTTGAGCAGGCCATCCTGTGTGTGATCTGGACAGGATTCACCTCCAGGGAACTGAGGAGGACCTGCGTCTGGAACCTGGCTTGTAAGACAGACTTCTCTTTGTAATCCCGATTTTGCTGGAAATGTGAACATTGTCACATGCAGTTGGTGGTTGTTGCTACCCTGGAAAAGTCCCCAAGGTGCTCCTTATGAGGGCCCTAGTATGACGTGTGCCTGGAAGACGCATTAAAACAGCAGCCTGCTCCCTGGAGACCTCTGCTGTGGAGGCTGTGGAGGGAGGACTTCCCGTGACCAGCAGAAAATCTGGAAGGAAAGTGGACTTTTTCAACATAAGGGGAATTTTTTTCTCATATAGCATGAGACGGGCTCCCCCAACACCTGGCACCTGCAGCCCCTCCTCAAGCAGCTTCTGGACCCCTCCCTGCTGTCCTCCAGCCCTGGCTTCTGTGCCTTAACTTCTGATTCTCTGATCCATGCAGATGGTATTTGTTAGTTCCTTACGGCTCTGAGTTCAATGAGGATCTGGTGATTCACTCTTCTATGGGAAGAGGAAGGTGGGGCGGAGGAGAAGGTGGGAGAAGAAGAGTATCAGTTACCTCTGTTGTAGAGAGATTTTAAGTTTGTAAGGGACTTTTTGAGAGTTCTCCTGGAAAACTAACATGAGTAGTATGCGCCCTATGAATAATTTCGGTCTGAATTCCAAGAACAAAGCTCTCCATCTGTTAAACTGAGATGCATTTTGACTTTATAATTTATTTTGGGGCTGTGACTTGAATCCAGAGCCTTGTGCTTGTTAAGCACATACTTTATCACCTAGCTACTTACGCGCCTGGTCCTATTTTGACTTAATTCAGCGGAGTCCTTTGTATCATGTTGGGTGCGAGGCATCAAGTGGTTCATTTCCTATAAACCAGTTTGTTCATTGACTGGGATGACTCTTGGAACACTGGGGACTTTATTTTTTTCATCGATCGTCCTTTTTTTTTCAGGAATTGGGGGATTAATACATATTTTGCATCTAAGAAATGGGAAGATGATTGAGATGATTTCATCTGACTTTCGTGGTCTGTGTGGGGGTGGGGGGGTGCTGCTGGGTCTTGAGCCAAGGGGTTCATGATGACGCCTCTACCACTGAGCTTCATCTCCAGCCCTTTTTAGTTGAGTCAGGTTCCTGGTCAGTTGTCCATGTTGGCTTTGAACTTGCAGTTCTCCTACTTTGGCCTCCGGGCCTCTGGGATCCTAGGCATGCTCCCCTGTACCCGGCTAACGTGCTGACTTTCTAGCAGGGAATTTTAACTCAGGGCTCGTGCAGAGGCGTTTTTCTAGAGAGAGCTAGGTGCCAACTCCATTCTCCCACTGGTGCCCAGGCACAGTCCGCTGGCCATGTCACGTAGGATGTCAGAGATCTGGGCCATGGAATCCTGTGGAGTTTTGCTTTCTACCCTGAGTCGTCCTGGATTCCTCTGTGGCACAGTGACAGTGGCAGATTGGGACTGTCCGGTCACGTTTTTCTGTTGGGGCCCAGTCAGTTGTGGCTGGCTCTGTGAGGCATTGAGGTTCTTCTGTGTGAAACAGAACCCAACTGACACATCTCCAGCTTTTAAAAATGGTGTTTCCAAGCTGTGGTAATTGCACGGTGAGTTCTCTGTCGTTATTGACTTTCCGAGGTGCTCCACGTCCCGTCTTTACCCCGAATGTATCTCTAGAGTCATTTCCATCATTATTTGTTTGCATGGTGCCTTATTGTTAGTTTTATACCCAGTGCTTGGTAAATGTTGAAAAAAAATGAAGAAAACGAACTTCATTAGATACAAGAGGTGAATGGAAATGAAATGGCAGCCATTTGGAAATGAGAAATGACCAGTCGGAGGCAGACACCAAGGCCTGTGCCTGAGATCCTTTCCCATGGAGAGAGAAATGTGCCCATTGCAGAAGCTGGTGACCCAATACTTGTGTTCTTTCTTCTGAATGAACCATTTAAAAAAAATTTTTAGAACACAGGATATAATTAAAATGTCAAGCCTAAGCTGTGTGTTACTAACTTCATGCTAAGGAAGAACAGAAGAGTAGATTCAAGAATGAATCTTGATTTTTCTTTTCCTTTCTAGATCAATATTGGAGCACTTTCTTTTTAAATTTTTTATTAACACATCAATATTACATATCCATAGGGGGATTCAGTGTGATATTTCCATACATGTACAGAAATCCGCCCTCCCTTTTTCTACCCTCCTCCCCCTCCCCCGGCTCTGGTAATCACTCCTCTATTTTCAGGTCAACCTTTTTAGCTTCCACATATGAGAGAGACCATGAGGTACTTACCTTCTTAATTCTGGCTTATTTTACTCAACATAACTTACAGTTCCATCCATCTTGCTACAAATGACAGGCTTTCATTCTTCCTTATGACTGAATAATACTTCATTGTGCTTATATTAATTAAAGAGAATTTTCCAAAGAAGAAATTAGAGTTGTCTTTTCTTATAGAGACTTATAGTGCTTCCATAATATATGCCTATTATGTACTACGTTTCATCATATATAATATGATACATATTATTTAAGTATCTTATACATTAAGCATCTTACACACTTAAGATTCTTACACATATAGTAATTATATACGTGAACATATATATACCTCATGTGCAGGAAAAACTTTATGATTTAAGTTTATTTTAAATGACTTAAGATATATTGAAATCAATATAATTTGGATTGCTTGCGATTAATGTCAAGAATTTGTATGCCTTTTCTTTAGGAAGGCCTGTGATTTACATGAGGAAATTATTATTATGATGATTATCAACATGATTATATTTTCTGCTGAACAATTTGTTGTTCAGCAGAAAATATAATATGTTCTTACTCAAAAAGATTTTAAAATATTTTTGTAGATTGTAGTGTCTGTATTTTTCTTTGTAGTCTGAGATAACAAATGTATTTATTTATTTTTTTTTTAGCCTAAAAGAAACAATTCTTTCTCAGGCTTATCCTCTTTTACCAATTCTTTAAATACTGGGGTTCATCTGGGCTCTCTTTACTGGCTCCTTTCTTTTATCTTTCTATTTCTTTTCCCTTCTTAGAGGAATATTGCGCAGTCTGGCTGGGCACAAAATAACCGAGCCACCACACAGCCTTGTAGGTTCAAAGAGCAACTCTTTATTCCTGGACTCTCACAGGCAGTCTACACACACTTCCCAGGAACACACCCCCTCCCCTGGGCTCCATTGGCCAATTCTCCCGGAACAGGAACCGGAACTCCAAAGTAGAGGACGCCTAAGGCAGCAGGATCCGCCCTAATCCCCCGAGCTGCCCTATTCCCAGCAGGATCCGCCCTAATCCCAGAGCCGCCCTATTCCCAGAGCAGGGTCACCTTTCAACCATTCCCTCTAGCAAAATGCCAGGCGTCATTCCGACTAAACTGTGGCTCTCAACAGAATATGATTGATTGAGTTATATTGTGTATCAGGCTAGGACCACAGTGTACATCTGAGCAGGTTGTGTACAGCACAACCCCAGGATGTGACATTTTTTGCTCCACTTCCAATACTTGTATAATACAGGTATTTCTGTCCCATCTGGACTGTGCTGGCTACTTTACAAACTCTCATATACTTTAACAATAACCTATAAGATGAAAACCATTCTTCTTACTTTAAAGAAGAAGAAAAAAACGAGTTTATGTTAACAGTTGACTGAAGGTTATATAATAACCAGTGGGCAGTAGAGTTTGTCCAGGTCCAAAGCCTCTGCTTCCCTCTACAGGATGCTCCATTTTGTGGGTGACTTATCCTCTAAGTAATTTCATCCATGGCCACCACCTCAGTGATGGCACTTTCCATAAGGCACTTCACCAGGTCTCTCTTTGGTGGCCTGCTGGAGAATTCTCCTTTGCTCCAGAGACCCCTGAGATTCTGCAGGATGTAAAGTGAAGCCTCATCGTCCTGCTCATTGCATCTCCTTAATTCCCACTCTGGTGAAGTCGCAATCTGGGCTCTTTTCTGTCTCTCTCTCTCTCCCGTCATATCCAATTAATGCCACATCTTACCAGTTCTGCCTCTGAATTCTCTATTGTTCCTTTTCAAACCAAAATTGTCCCTGCATTCATTCAGGTCTTTGTTCTTCTGTTCTGAATGCAACTGCTCTTCCTAATCTAGGAAAAGCTATACCTAAAATCTGTCTACGCCTTTGCACTGACCATCTGCTCTGCCTGCCTTCGCCCTGTCTGCCTTCCCCACTCAGTCACCTTGTCCTAGAAGCCTTCTTTGATCCTTTCATCAACCCCCTTCCATTAATTATTCTTCTCTGCGCTCATGGCACTCAGAGCTTAAGTCCATCCATCACATCCCTCCTCACAGCATTCTGATAATGGATTTGCTTCTCTGATTCCTATTGGATTGAGAAGTCTTTGAGGATGGGGACCATGTTTGACTTACCTGTATCTGCCTCCCCGCTAGCAGCTTGTCTGGGAGGAGATCAATAAGTGCTCAAGGGAATGATATTTCAGTCACATCGTGGATGTCTTAGGCAGATCTGAAAGAGTTGTTTGCATTATATTGCAGTGTTGGATGTGTTCATTTAGTTTTATTAAATTCTAACTGCAATTTTTATAAATTTTCATGGTTGAAATAATTTGTGGTGAAGTTATCCAATTATACAGAATTTTTGAGATGACAGCCAGTGTGATTACTGTCAAACCTATGTTTTTATTCATATTGGCAGCCACTTTGTACCTTTATTCTACTGATAAGAGATGATGACTTAATTGGGTGGTAATTTAAAAAGTGGACTCTGTTGAACTTTGGTTCAAGGCTCAGAAGATGTGCATCAACACTAACGAGTAAGAGCCTCTTAGGGGGACCTTATCTTTCCTGTTTGCTGTCCATCAACAATGGTAACTATAGCAAGAGAATTTCTTGAGGAAGCAATCTAGAACCTAAGCCACTGCTAAATCGGAAATTAGATATCCTTTGGGGGGTGATTTTCACTAATATGCAACTTTTCTCATGCAATAAAGATTTAGGTCTAGCGTCAGCTCTGGTCTGGTTTGGCTGACTACTTAACTCGCCCTGGGCATCAGTTTTCTTGTCTTTAAAATGAGGTGTTTGGATTAAAATAGCTCGAAGGACTTTGCAGGCTCAAATATGCTTTGATGACATTCCTTGCTGCCAGCCCCCGGGAGTGTTCTCCTGCCCAGTCCTCTGTTCCTTCTCCTGCACCAGTGGGCTGGAGCTGCTGCAGGTCCTCGCATCACAGTAGTTAAGCTGGGTTCTTCAGCACTTGGCTTTGACCTGGAAGTTTGCTTCCACGTGAGCTGAGAAGCAGGTGGCTCCTGGCCTTTGGAGCGGCGCCTGCTGTGCAGGGTCAATGAACTGCACATCCCTTCCCCTAAGACTTGGGAGTTCCTTTCAGGAAGAAGTGTCCTGACAGTGGTTACAAAAGTAGAATGAGGTTGCTGAGTGAGCACAAAAAGACACCATGAAGGGGGAAGGACTGTTCCAACTTACAACGTTCCTGTGGTGGTGACCTTTGCGGGTGTGGAAAGCCAGGAGGTGTGTCACCCACAATGTATGTCACACAAATGTCCAGAGTTTTGGAGTGAGAAAGGCATGTCGTGGAATGCAGCTTTACCTAAGGGTACAGCTGGATAAGTTCCCGCGTGTTTCTTGAATAACTTGTTGACAGAGCCCCTCCATGACACCCTCGCAGACCACTGTTTCCTCAAGGCCCGTGCCTGCGGTTTAGGAGGCGAGCTGACACTGTTCGCTGCCTTGATGTCCCCACAGTCTAATTCTGTCGTTGTGCGCAAAAGGACAGGTCAGGTGCCAGCTGTCGTGATGAGCTCGGGAGGTGCTGTACGGAAACAGGGAGGTGGGAAGGCCGGCGTGGGCCGCTGGAGGAGAGCGGAGCTGGGCAGCCGGGGAGCTGGCCTGTGCGGTTGTGCGCAGAGGGAGAGGCGCAAGCGCCGAGGCGGGGCGAGCCGGGTGCAGGGCGCGGGACTGCGGTGCGACACGGGCTCGGGGTTCCCGCGGCCGGCGGGCGAACGCGCCAGGTCCTGGCCCCCGGGCGGCTGCAGGAGCGGAGAGCTGGGCGCGGCAGCCGGGCTCGGACAGGGTTAAGCCATCACCTGCCTTGAAGTGCGACCCAGATGGGAAGTAGGAAGTGCGGCGCCTGAGCTTCCTGTATAAATAAACGCGGCTCCCAGCGCCGCCGCCGCCGCGAGCTGCGCCCCACGCCGCCCGGCACGGTCCCTAGCGTCGCCAGGCCGGGAGGCGCGCGGGGACTCCTCCTCTTCCCCGCCGATAGGTCCGGGCGCACGGTCGCTGGCGATCCTGCCAAGTGAGGAGCTGTCAGCCGCAGAGCGCCCAGGGCAGGGAGGAATGGAAGAGCTCCTCCTCCCCGGCGCCGGCCGCGCAGCTCGGGCTGGCCGTGCGCGCAGGACCGGCCGCTGAGGAGCTGCGGCCAGCGGGACACTGCCCTCCTGCCAGGTAGGTGCGGAGCGCGGCTCCGGGGCTGCAGGCGGTGCAAGCCTGGAACCGCGTTCGTCCACGAAAAGGGACCGAGAAGGGCGAGAGAAGCGAGGCAACGGTGACACCTTGGCGCTTGGCTTCATTTTCTGTTTCTAGTGCTGAAACCATACAGCACTGCATGCATTCTGAATGCCTTAAACACCTGTTAACTTTTAAAAATAGATGTCTTCGTAAAGGTAAAAATACATTAGCTTCATTTGTAACAAATGCATCATAAAATTGAAGATGAGATCAAATCTCCCTGGATCTTTAGGGGAGAACAAAAGTTGGCAGGATCTTGGATGTCTACCTTCTGTTATTTGGAAATGCATGGCAATATGTTGACACAGAGCTATGAGTACAGTGTTGGGTTAGTCCTGGAATCTTGGCCAGACATCACTGTGGTTATTCTGACAATTTCTATCAAATAGAATCAAACTCTGATCATAGCCTCAAGTTTAAGTTAAAAGGAAACTGATTTCTGTTTTAACAGGAAAAAGGCATCCTTTGCTTACCCCTTCCAGGATACCTTTTGCTTTTCTCATTAGTTTCAGGGATTCTGCTGTGAATCTGCTCCTGACGCATGCACTTCTTACATACAGATTTCTCACGGTGAATTCCTCTCTCTGAATAAATGTTTCCACTATAGACTGTCAGTTTCTTATTGCTTTCTGTCCCACATATCTTATCAAAACATAGGCTGGGGAACCTTATAAGGACTATCAGTGTTCTTCTGGTTTGCCATTTCTGGGTGTGTATTTGAACATCGAGAGGTATGAATTACAGGATAATGCATTTAACATTTCTGAAGCAGGAGATTAGGGGTGTCTATACCCAGAAGCAAAATAAATGAACTTTGTGATGACTCAGTTTTCAGGGTGTGGATGAGGCAAAAGGAACCCAGCCGGTCTTCACTGAGTTGCTGGCTAATTAAAGCATGGGCTGCAGCTTCCCCTGAGCTGCTGAGCTTCCTGGGCTCTGGTCCCTTCAATGGTTCACTCCTCTCCGACTCTCTCCCCTCCTTGCTGTGCCCTTCCTTCTGAACATTGGTCCTTTTCATGGGTAGCAGTTCCTTAAGTATTTCTAAAACTATCTTGAGGAGGAGGAGAGAAAAAGAGAAATCTCTAGCAAATGCACAAAGCTACTTGGAGATAATTGTATTATGAAATTCAAGGCTGTGATTTCACCTAGCGTCTGCCCTGCCCTTCCACGCCTTTGGCAGGGTATTTTATTCTTTGTGGTGGGCATCAACTTAAAAAAATGCTCGTTTCAAAAGTACTCTATCTTGATGGCTTAAAAGAAAATTAAACATGTATAGTGAATATGAAAAGAAAGTCAAGGGGCAGAATTGGGTTGCTTGGCTTTTAATCTCACACAAACCAAAAAACTCAACCAAAAAAAAAGAGCTCCAAACCAATCACCCTAGATAACTTGCTCTTGTACTACTGCAATGGAAGGAAGGTCTGAGTGTGGTCAGACACTGTCAATTTACCCAGAGTTTTACAAATATTTACATTCATTATGCCAAATATCTTTGTGCTGAGCCCTGAAGAACATTCTCAGCATTCAAAAGCTCCATTCTCATGAATGGTTTCAGTTCACTTGCGATTTAAAGGCATTCAGGTTTCTAAACTAGGTCAGTTTAAGACCTGTCTTGTAAAAATAATCAGCTTTTGGGTCTCAGATTATGAACCAGGTTTTTGCAGCCATATTCTACAGCAAAGAGAAAAGTATGCTCTTTCTAGAAAGAAAAAGTTTGTTTTATCTACCTAGTAAGACCATCTAGCTTCCCAGAAGACATCTTTCTCCCCAAAATTATGAGTACTTTTCATCAGAAAAGGTATTCAACTTCCCTTCTTAAAAGGTTGTTTCAATATTTCAGGTGTTTAGAACATTTCTATCTCTGCAGAGTGGCTTCTGTGTTTCTCCTGCCCTTGATGTGACATTACTTTCTTGTTGAGTGAGGTTCTTCGTGTTTGCCGTCTCCAGTTGGAGGTAGAGGTCAGGAATCAGGTTGAACCCAGATGTTGACTGGAAGAACAAAGTCCAAGCAGTTTTGGGACTGAACCTACTTTGTGCAACTGATTATTTGGAATGTGGGAAAGGGGCCAAGCTGCTACTCAATCATGCTTTCCACTTTGAGGAGTGGGTATTTGCAGTGATTGCTTCAGAATACCAGACATTTTTTTTTCCAAGGATTTCTGCATTAACTTATAGAAGCTCCTTAGTTATACCTTGTTTATCAATATTTTAAGTTTTGAATTATTGAAAGTGAGTACAAGTGAGAACCAGGTCTTGAATATCTCTTCTCCTTCATGTACAAGCAACACTCTACGGTTGGGTGACGACTGTTTGCCAGGCACTATGCTGGATGCTGAGGACTTAAAGGATGTGAGTTGTGGTCTCTTGTCTGTAAAGATTCTGATAATCTTGGCAGTGGCTTTGGACTTGGGTGGTCATTCTTAATTCAGGTTGTTTTACCAGAGTGTGAAAACTACTTTGATGTTTTTCATCCTGATCATGTGTTTTTCCTCTGTGTGTGGTTTTGTTGTTGTTTTTGGTTTGTTTGGGTAATGTTTCTCTGATGTCATTTGAGCCTTAAGTAACTCCAAGAGGCAATAACAGCACCTAAGTTCAGTTAGTTAATGTCTCAATTTTATTTTTCGACCTTTAAGCATATAGAGGAGGTTTTGGAGAAATATTTTATTTGTACTAACTTGGCATTTGCTACATACTTGGTTGTTGAGCACTTCTTAACCCAATGTATCCTACTGTACTAGTTATTTAAAAATGGAAAATGACACATTGTAGAGAGTAAAGGTAACCAATGCTTTTCCAACCTGGAACAAGAAAGTTCCCTTCTGGGATAGGCTCCCTTTGTTGATAGGAAACACAACTTAAGCGAAACACAATTCCCTTATTCATAGCAAGAGAGACTTTTGATGGCATGGCTTGAGTATCAATTAAGAGCTATTTTGAGGGCTGAGATTGTGGCTCAGTGGTAGAGCACTTGCCTAGCACGTGTGAGGCATTGGGTTCGATCTTCAGCACCATCTAAAAATAAGTAAGTAAATAAATAAATAAAGGTATTGTGTCTGTCTACAACTAAAAAGAAATATTTTTTAAAAAGCATATTTCGAGACCCAGACCTCCCTGATCTCTCTGAAGTCATGAGTTTGAGTCCTAACCTTTAGTCAACCTGTTGTTTTTCTTGGAAGACAGAATAAGATAACTCATTTCTCTTTGATGGGCTTGTGGCTGAAACCATAAACCCACGGATTCTTCTCTATGGCTATTTGAAATCATCTGTTGACAACCTCCCCAACTGGTTTCCCCTTTGTACGTAGGGACTGGGCCCAATCACCTTTCCGTCCCTACCACCTGGCATGTGGAATTTGGTTCCTTGTGGGTTGACTTTGTTTCCTGCACTATGGGTTCCAGCTGCAAGAACCTTATTTGGCAAAGACATTGCAAATAAACACCCCAAACCTTGCTCAGCATGGGAGGGAGGAGACTCCGCTTCCAAATTGGTTTTAAACTCGTTTCTAACTAAAAGTTCTATGTGAAGTTTTCAGCCTTTATAGGAAGGGTACTATTTGGTCAGGCTTTTATGCATTTGCAGAACAATTTTTGATTTAGATGTTCATATCCTGACCCCAAGAAATGAGAGTCTTGCTCTGTGGGGCTTTCTGAATACCACTTCTCCTTGATCTGCTCATTGCCTCATTGTCTGACCTGCCAGTCAGTGGCCTTCCTTCCTGCTTGGGAGCTTTGTTGTTATGCCAGGCAGGGGAAGAAACGTATTCAGCAGGGCTGTGTAAATAGGTGTGGGAGGCAGGGGAACCACTGATTAAAACAGAGTGGGCAGGGCCGGGTGGTGTTCAGGAGGGAGCTTCCAGGACGGTGTGAAGTTGCAGTGCCCCGATTCTGGAGCCTCTCCCTTTCTCCCATTCACTCCTACCTTCTTTGATAAGTTTGTATTGTTAGCAGAGTCAGAATGGATTGCCACCTCTTGGGTTTTACCCTGTAGTGTAATGAGAACATGCCTAGAAGACTCAAAGAAAGAGTCATGTGCTCTGTTGGCCATGTTCTCGAATCTCCCTCCATAGCTATTTTGTAGGAAAAAAACTTTAAAATTAGATCTCATTAAAACAGTAGTCAAGAATCTTATTTGTGACATACTTTTAAATAGCAAAGAGATGCTTTAGAAAACAATTCTTGTGGTATTGAATGTGCTCCTCCTTGCTCTTTCCACCCACAAAAAATGGTTAATGAGGCCAGGCACGGTGGTGCACGCCTGTAATCCCAGCAGCTGGGGGTGCCGAGGCAGGGGGGATTGTGAGTTCAGAGCCAGCCTCAGCAAAAGTGAGGCCCTAAGCAACTCAGTGAGACCCTGTCTCTAAATAAAATACAAAGGAGGGCTGGGGATGTGGCTCAGTGGTTGAGT